CTAAGAAATCCATCTCTATCTTAGTCATCTTGCGCTGTCATAACAAAATAGCATAGACTGGATGACTTAACCAACAGAAATTTATTTTCTCACAATTCTAGAGGCTAGAAGTCTGAGATCAGGGTGCCAACATGGTCAGGTTCTGCCAAACACCTTCTTCCTGGTTTGCAGTCGGCTAAAGACCCTCTTCCTGGCTTGCAGTTGGCTACTTTCTCTCTGTGTCCTAACATGGCAGAGAGCAAGCCCTCTGCTGTCAATTCTTATAAGAGCACTAATCCCAAGATCAGGCCCTACTCTCATGACCTCATCTAACCACAATTACCTCCCAAAGGCCCCATCTCCAAATACATCACATTGGTCACCAGGGCTTCAACATAGGAATTTTGGGTGGACACAAACATTCAGTTTATAGTGATCTCATTGGATCTATTGCAAATTTTGGGTCCTGTTCTCCAATTCACAACCTCTTCCAGACACACACACACACCCTCACCAACCACCCCATCCTAATTAGAGACACACACACACACACACACCTCATTACTGTCATCACCAGGCTCTTGCAAGCAGTGGAAGCCTTGCTAGCAAGAACCATCACCATATAGTATTACTTCACCTCATCTGCACATGGTTAGCCTTGCAGTGCCAGCGTGCTGGATGCTGGGGAGGTAATCTGTCTGTGCCCCGGCTCTTTGGGGCGATGCCCGCCGTAGCTTGCTACTTGTCAGATACCCGCCACCTCATCATCTGTTGCCAGCTCACATCTCCCAGTGTGCTGTGAAGGCAGGTTAGGCCAATCTAGGCATCATGCACTTTTTAAATGCTTCTAACACATTTTCCTCTCACGTTTCAAAGGGCATTCTGGCCACTTAGAAATGTGTATATGCATGAATGTCTATGTGTCCATAAAGCAGACTTGAAACCCATAATGAATAAGATTCTTAGCATCTAATGAATGACTCAGTCTTCTTTAGAATGAGTCAGCACCACTTTGTTAACTGTGAGGGATTTCATCAACTTTCTTATGTTTGCGTCTATGGGAAATAGTTTTTGGAAGACTGTCTCAAAGAGCTTGAATGAAATTGAAGCAAGTGAGCCCACAGGTACCCAGGGACCACAAGAATATCCAAATATTGGCCTGTAGGTTTCTCATTATATGCCCAACCACAGCTTCATAAAGCAGGACTGAATAAAATCGGCTGCAAAGGTAACCTAGCTAATGAAGCAAGAAATGAGTTGGTGAGCAGAAATTATTCCTACATGGTACAATTAATTGTGACCCAAGAATCCCTCAACAGTGTTTTCAGGATCCCCTGAGGTGTTTTTTTTGTTTGTTTTTTGTCAGATGTCAAATGCCATCCACTTGAATATTTAAGCATTGCATTGTCCTTATTAGCTGTGACCCTAGCTTGTGACACCTATGGATGAAGACTCGTCCAAGGCTGTGCTCTCTGGCTGTGTAACCCTAGGATATCACTTAACCTCTGAGCTGTTTTTTTCTCATTTATAAAATAAGCTGTTATCTGCCATGCTCACCTCCCAGAGTTGTGAGACCAAAAGTATATAATCCACATTGAAGCACTTTGTAAAGTATTAAGAATTTTTAGAGTTTTAATTAATTGTATTGGTTTTCATTTGCTATGACAAAAGGACTGTTTTATAGACCCTTCTTCTTCTTTATAAATGCTGTATACTTTGAAATTACATACTCTTCTAAAATGAAGACTGTGCAAGTGTCCTGTGGATCTTGAATTCTTTTCCTTAGATCGCTGATCCACTCAGATCTCCTCACAAAGGCAGGATTAGAGGTGTCATCTCTAGCCATGGAGTAGATCTACTGCCCACAGTAGGGCTTGTCAGGGAACATGAATTTTCACCTCTTGCTATGAGGTGGTAGAAAGAGTTGGTGAAGGAGACAAAGACATTCCTGGTATAATGCTTCTCTCAGAAAATAATTCTCCTTACACTCTGACACCAGTTTCCTTACCTTTATAGATTCCTTTGTTAGGCACACAGCACATGGCTGTGTGACAAGAATGATTCTGGCATTTTCAGAGTTATTGTCTAAAATATTCTCCCACCTTCCTATCTGGTGTCTTTTAATCTCACTGAACATCAACCCCATTCAACCAGTAGCTCTGCTCTAATGGTATTTTTTCTTCTATGGTTCTTTGTACTAATTATTTCACGTGCTACTGAATGCTGCTGTGCTTTTCCATGTATTAACTTTACAGGCTGCTGTCAGTTTGCACCTTATGTACTGTGCTTCCTGGGGTGTTAAAGAGTTAAAATAATAAAATCTCTTGCCAGGCATGAAGCTTCCTTCACAGGCAAAATGACCTAACTAACCAGGTTTTGAATACCTTGTTAATTTTACTTGTAATTTCCTCCAAGTGAAGCACAAAAATTGTTTATATATGCACATTGGAAATGAACAATAATATGTGTTTCCTACCCCTTTTCTTTGCAATTAATGTTTCTATATGTTATGGCAAATGGAAATACATTCCCAATACTTGGGCTCTGCTTTTCAGCAATATTATGCTGTGCCACTTACTTTCCAAACATTCATCCATACCTGCTATTAAATCTAGACAATTGTCTGGCTGAAGCTTTCATCTGAACTTGCTATTTACCTAACCTTCATTGTACCTGTGTGGCCACTTCATTACACTCTCTCCAGCAGCTAAGGAGCTCTTTGATCACTTCTGAAGTCTCACTGAGAGGGCTACTTCCTTTTAGATTTAGCCCTTGCTAGCATTAAATGTGAGCTAATTCCTTCATTTTTCATTATTTCCTTGATTTTCTTAAAGCAACAGCATTAAAGCATTCCTGCTGGCATTTATTAATTTTTCTTTCTTTTTCACTTTATCTCTCAAAAGCCCCAACCTTGTATAGGTAAAATATTAATCTGTAGTTTCCTGATGACCAAAACTGCATTTGGCTTGGGGTGGGGGTGGGGGGGTAGGGGGAGGACCATTAGCAGTCAACTGTATCCTTTCCCTAGTGTCCTATCCATAAGGAGCACTTCCTGTTTTGCTATGCATCCAACAATCCAGCTAACAAAGCACCACTGCCTTCCACTATTTTTATTGTCCTGATGTTTTGGAAAATTACACTGATAGATTATGTTTCCATGCAGGCCGCAGTTGTTTCTGCACTTTGGAGTTGAGTCACTATACCACTTTCCTACAACCAGCCCCACTGTTTATTTTAAAGAAGGACAAAGAAAGTAATTTTTCTTGGGGAAGAAAACTGTTTCTCCTGCAACTTGCTTTCCTCTATTTGACAGTATCCATTGTTTAGCTACATGTTTAAGCTCTGTGGGTAGGCCGGGTATCTCTTCAATTCAGAGAAGGGATCTCAAATCCACAATTTGCAGTCATTGCTCCTATAGGTTTATAGGTTTTCAGATAAATGATTAATTGGAAAGAACAAATTGGCAGGGATAAAGAGACATTAGTCAAATGGCAGAAAGAGATGTTAGGAAGAAATACAGCAAATACAATGCAACAGTGCTCAGCCTTTCTTTATTACCAAGATTCTAGGAAAGCGCCAAATTCTAGAGGTTGGTGTCAGTCAAGATATGTGTATGACATTTCAGAAAGGACTGCCTTCTAAATTCAAGTTAAAATCTCGATGCTCTTCAGTAACGCTAGTTTCTAATAATTTTTCTCCTTAGAAGAGAATATTTTAAGAAGGAAAAGTCACGTCTGCCTTCTCTAATTTCTGGGAGAAAATCTGTTTTATAAGTATGCACAAACTAAAATAGTCCTTGTGCAGATACTAAGCTTTAAGGTAGTAGTTTACTCTCCAACTTCTGTTTGAGATATTTGAATATCTGAATTTTTGTATAGCTAAAATTCATATTTCTAGGGCCACATATCAAGAGATTGCGATTCACTGAGTAAGGTCCAGGACTCTTCCTAGTTAACCAACAAGCCTAGTAATTCAGGTGCAGGTGATCAAAGAGGAAACCTCCACTCCCCGACCGCATAAAGGGATGCCGCTCATCCAGGCTTCCACTTCTAAGCACCAAGATTCAGAATATCATCACCAAACTAAATCCTCCTGTGACTTCCCATTTCTCATCACCCTCCAAACATGACAGGAACCCTCAGATGCCCCCTTATGTCAGAAGTACTTTTTCCTAAACAGATATGTGAGAATTTTACGATAAACTTTGTCTCACCTATCAAGCAGTACAGTTTGTATTAAACTCTTTAGAGAAGGTAACATGTCCTCTCTATGGCTGGCAGTAGCAAACACAGAGGTAGGCCACCTTAATTATAAGTGTGCCCCATTTTAAGAAAGCCCAAAATACCAGTAGATTCATGGAGGACACCAACCTCCATAGACAAGTGCACAACAGTCTATTTCAAGATGGATCATGTCAGTTGCTGGAATGGTCCTAGGACCCAGAATAAATCACTAAATTGCCACAGGAGAGGAGCCAGAGTCCATGGCCATCCAATGAGAGCTAAAGATAAAAGCAGAGCTGGAGGTTTAATGTAAGCCACTGGACTAGACAGAAATCCACTTGCATAACATTTTTCAGGATTCAACTTGCATAAGAAATCTTCCTTTGTATAAACAAGACAGTGGGCAACTCTTAACTCTTATGATGCCTTGGTGACATAGATAAAATCACCCCCGCTCAATGGACACAGCTCTGTGGGATCGCCACTGGGAGAGTGGAGCTCAGGTTCAATTTCAGTCCTTCTTTTCCCCTCATCCCAGATTCCTTAGGCAGGGCCACCTGCAAATCCTTCTCAACAGTCCTGCCAAGCGTTCCCTTTTATATATCAACACATTCATCTGTTTGAAGGAAGGGTACAGACAATTCTCTAAAATAATAGAAGAAAACATTTATTTGCACTAGATACCATTACTTCAGGGAAGCTAAATATGTTATTATTTAGCTGACCTGACTTCAATCCCCGGGGAGAGGTTATTTCTGTGGTTTTGTTCTAAAACATTTCCTTCTACTGGGAGACTAGGGGAGTCTTCGTGCGTGCTCAGGTGTGATGGAGAAGTTGCAATATGCCAGCCTCCTCAGCCGGCTGCAGAGAGTAAAGGAGCAGTCCCAGGTGATCAATCAAGCAATGGCCGAGCTAGCAACCATTCCCTATCTACAGGACATCAGTCAACAGGAGGCGGAATTGGTACGCATTTGTTTTTCTTTGTTTAAGCCCTGAGCCAATAAAAGAGTGATATGGTCTGAAAAAGAATGTGACAATAAATGCAGTCCGAGGGCAAACTCCCCAACCCTCATGAAGCATTCTAATGAAGAAACTGGAAAATGTAGAAATGTGTGTGTGTGTGTGTTTTATTTGCCCACCCTAACTAGCTTCTTTTTTTTTTTTTAATAGCAAGACCTTTGTGATGTATGAAAATATGGAAGAGGGCTGATTATTCATATTTTGAGTCAGGCTTTTTTGTTTCAAGTAAAGTGAAATTTTAATACATTGTTTCTTAACTCCAAGATATGTTAATATAGGATGCTCTTCAATGGAAAAGTAAGAGGAAAAAACAGTCATTGCTGGATAGAAAACTGACCCTACAAAATCATCCATAGCATTTTCTTATTTACTTCTAATGTCACATATATGCTGGCAGTGCCAACACTCGCACACATATGTACATTTAGTTAAGAGAGGTGTCTTGAGGGGAAAATGTAGTCAAATGGTGGGGTGTTTTTTTTTTTAACTGAATTGACCAGTTAGCTCAGAAAACACAGAGCCTGTCAAAAACTAGTTCAAGAAATATCTTATAGAACAAATCTCCAAACAGGTGTTTATATTATAACCATAATTTATATTAGAAACAATAGCACCTCGTTTGAAAAACGATTATTAATCAGTGTGATGGCCATTCAAGGAAAGGTAAAATTCACTCCATATAAAGCCCCTAATGTGTTGCTGGGAAGGGCTCTTTGAGGCTCTAATTGAATGTAGCGAAAACTAATTACAGACCTGAATTGAATTCACATAGCAAGGATGAGAACAACCCAAACTTATCACCTGTAATTTTCAGATAACTAAAGGAACCCTCCCTCTTTGAACTTTTTAAATTGTTACAAATTAATCAAGAAGTGAACCGCCAACATTTATAATGTTCATCTGAACCTGTAAAAGTATATTAAATAAATACTGATATTCAAAGTAAGCATATAAAACCGAGTAGTTTTATATAATAAATAAAATATTTTATATAATAAATAATAAAACTCCACATACTAAACATTAAAACTATGAGAAAAAAAGTCTATTAGTCAAGAATTTACTAAGTCAAAACTGGCAATAATACTTTCTAAACCTGTATGGTTATGTGCACAGAACACCTTCTAAAAGGCTAAGTGTTTATCCTACCGTTCGTAAGGCATTCAGGAGTGCAGTAAGTGTGGAGCTTTCAAAGTGCATATTATAGTCAATTTTAGATGATTAATGCTCCTCTGAGATAAAAGAAAGCGAAGAAAATGTTAATTTAAGAAGCTGGCACAATGTTGATCCTGTCTTCCTGAAAAGCACATTCAAGATTTAAATGAAAAATACAAGGGAGTTTTCTGCACTTAGGTCTTCTTAACCACACATCTGCAGCCTTCTTTTTCCTGGAAATACTTATATTTCTAAATATACACAAAGAGCACAAAACTAGCATTATTAACATCACTAACTAATGTGTTAGTGCAACATTCCACTACCCGAAACCTTGGAAAACAGGATTTCATGGGATATTTTCATAATTTATATACCTACTAGAAAAAAAGTAAATGTATAGGGATGTATATGTGCAAGCCAAATATTTAAAAATCATGTATCTTGCAAGGGTTCATCACCTTAAGTAACAGATTTTACTTTCCAGCTTCCAAGCATAGGTTAACCTAGATACAAATCCTCGAAACACCTTTTATGATGCTATATAAACAGTGACTACTCAGTAGAAGAGTTTTGAGTGACTCAACTCCCTACCCTCCTGTTTAAGCTCTGCAATATCTAAAGAACAGAAAGATTATCTAAGGGTTCATAATGTTTGACGCCATGGTGAACTGAGCTGGAATATGTTCATTTTTAGAGAACTTTCTTTTTTAGCTTTGAATATCACATGGCTTCATGTGGCCTCATTACTTTGCAGCCACATATAAAGTGTGTGTATAGGATTATTTTAAATTGGAATATGGCAGTTCGGGGCAAAGGGTGGAATGTTTTAAACTTGCCTTTGAAATGGAACCTAAAAAAGTAATTCTGGTTATTTTGAAATTTTAGAAAAGAAAAGCATAGTAAAAGAACATAAATGAGCTAGATCCTTTAAGAGGCAATAAAACAACACAATTTTAGTACGGTCCTCTGGTGAGCTTTTGCATGATGCCTAGAATTATGATACATTAGCCTCAGGAGAAAATATTAAAATGTGTTCATGTACTACATGCCATTCCCTGAGAGAATTAACTACCACCTTCATTCTTTACAACCCAAATCTGTTTTTACAAAACATCAACACTTACTACATTAAAATCTATATGTTTTCTACAAATTTTCAAGAATCTTTCCATTATTTCAGTATTTTATATCTGCAATAATACTTGGTAATGACTGAAGCAGAGATGAGGTGGCAGTGTTCATTGTCGGAAAGTTGAGTAATAAAATCATCAGCGTACAAATGATTTTTTAATTAGGTTTTAATCTGTGTATTTAGAGAAGTTATTTCTGTGTGAATTCCACACTGATAATTTTTATCTTGGTGCCACAGCTGCAGTCACTAATGGCAGATGCTATGGACACCCTTGAAGGAAGAAGAAACGATAAAGAACGTGTGTGGAATACAATTCAAAAGGTAAAACTTTCAGCTGAAGGAAAAAGACATATTATTCTCAAAGAAAATGTCCATCTTGGGTCAAATCTGTTTAAAAGATAAAAAGAAAAGGAAATTCCTGGGGTTGTTTTATTGGTTGTTTTCTTTTTAAAATAAATGCAGCTCTCTCCCTGGAAGTGTAGCCAAAATCAAATATGGATTTATTTAATCTGTTTCCTAAGGTCTGCTGCTTTTCTGACTGTGGTCATATGATTTTATGGGTCTCTTATCACGCTCATTTTCCTATTGTATTTTCGTTATCTGCTCCTTCATTATTGGTTATTATAGATATTTTTTAAGCCCTTTCATCAATGTTTTAGTTTGCTCCCCAACCCTTTCTTCCATAATGGTCACTTGAGGAATAATGGCTACATTTCAGGGAACTACAAATGAACTAGCACATTGATGTTTGGGGTGAAGGAGTAACAGACGGGTTGTTAGAAGTAGAACATCCCTTCATTGGTTACCTGAGTTATGCAAAACAAGCACTGAGATGCACCTGGCCCCAGCTACTCGGGAGACTTGTGGGATACCACGGGCCCCTCTGGCAATGCAGGAAGGAGTAAGTAGTGTTGGGTCTCCAGTCCAGCTAAAGGTGATAAATTCTGGTCAATCTACTCCCCACTCAGTCTCCTCCAATCACGGTAAGAACCCACAAAGGAAGAACTGGTGTCAGGAGATGTGAGAAGAGCAAACCAAAGAAGCCTTCAGTTTAAGAGGTAAAGTCAGCCATGAGGGATTCCAATGCATCTGCAGAAATGTGTGTCTTCTGTAATCAATTCAGAGGCCCTATGATAAATGCATAGAACAGAAATCAACAGAGCTCAGCAAATATTGGTTGGATATCTACTGTGCCTGAAAGAACACTGTATGTTAAGGATATTGTGCTAGACAAGACAAACAAAGCCCCTGCCTATATGGGCCTACCCATCTAGGAAAGAAGACAGTTATTAAACAGCTACTTATAAGTTTAGTAACTATTATATTTAAAAAGTGGATGTTCAATGATCTGTGGGAACAAAGACAGGAATATAATCTGGTCTGAGAGATCAGAGAATCCATCTCTGAGAAAGTGATATTTATAAATCATTTAAAGGAGAGTAGTAGTTATCCAGATGAAAAGGGAGATTTCTACACAGAGGAATAAGTTTGTACCAAGAATGCTAAGAAAGCATGGCAAATTCAAAAACTGACAAAGGAACGAGGAACATATTTCAAAATGAAGTGCAGAGGCAGAAGAAGTCAAATCACAGAAGATCTTAAAAATTACATTAAGGATTTTTTAAGGATTTGGTCCTAAAAACTATGTTTGGGGAAGTATTAATATTTATCTGATAAATATTTTTGAGACATCGCTAGGGCTGTAGTGGGAAAACAGATCGGGGCTACAGAAATTTGGGGAGGTCAGTTATAAGGAGGTGACTTGATGTACAGTGGTGGGCACAGAGATGGAGAGAAGCAGACAGATGTAAGAAATATTCGGGAAGCAAATATACAGGCCTTATTCACTGATTGCATATGGGAGTTTAGAAAGAAGAAAAGGTTAGAATGATGCCCAGACATTGGGCTTGAGCCACTAGGCAGGGAATAGGAAGAGGTTCGCTGGTGCAAAGGAAAGAAATACTTCAACGAAGCAGCTTTTGGCTGAGAACATAAACTCTTTCAGAGTCCACAGAAACCACACCAGGTATTTGAAAGGGAACTTAATACACAGAATGATTAACTGTGTATGAAATAGGTAACTGAAAAGGAAAACAATAATTCATTACCAAGGAAGCAATTAAAGGAAACAGTTACCACCCCCTAGGGCTGGAGAATCAAAGAGAAGAGGTTGCAATTACTAAAACTTAGAAACTTGGAGCAGGGACCTGGCTGGGCCAAAACTCAGATCTCCTACTAGGAGGTGCTATTTAGCTGGTGCTAGTGTCCCTGAACTTGGAGGAGGGGTCGTGAAGGGCTGAGACTTAGACTTCTGAGGAATGGGCACTAACTCACTAGTGCTGATGGGGAGTGAAAGAAGGCAGTTTTAATGGGGGTAATCTGGCAACTTTTGGAAAAACCAAATTCCACTGCTACTACAGAAAAGAATGTATGTTTCTGGAGCAAAGAAACTTTGCTGAATAGATGCTCACGGGAACTCCAAGCAGACAGGAAGTCCGCAGCAAATAACCAGGAAGCAGCAAGTCCCTCCTTTCTCCTTGGGTTTTACAGTGTCCCTCTATCGACCCCTATTGATGGAGACAAAGAGCTGGCAAAACAGAAATGGGGTTTCCAGAGTTCCAGTCCCAGCATCAAGGAGCTAATTACAGAAGGGTGGGTTTGGAATTAAGAGACAATAGGCTAATAACTAGGCCAAAAGTGCACTGAACTTAGGGTGCCGGCAAGATATCCAAGGTGAAGTACAGGAGTCTGGAGTTCTGAATAGAAAATTGAATAGAGATAGAGTTTTCTAAGTCATTGGCAAATTGGTGGTAACTGAAATCATTTGAGTGGATGACATGGCAGAGAAAGAGCGTATAAGAAGAAGAGAGGTTTGGGGAGCACATTTCAAATTTAGGAGGAGACTAAGAAGGAGTGGCAAGACGAACTGGAGCTAGAGGTAAACGAAATCCAATGCTCATGAGAGTCAAGTAATATAATTAAATATTTCTGCTGACTATAGAAATAATTGTTTAGCACAGGGGGTAGCAAACTACAGTTCACAGGTCAAAACCAACCAACCACTTATATTTGTAAATAGAGTTTACTGCACACAGCCATGCCATTCACTTAAGTATCATCTATGTCACCTTGGCCAAGTTGAGTAGTTGCCACAAAGACCATATAACTCACGAAGCCTAAAATATTTACTATCTGACCCTACACAAAAAGTCTGCTGTATGCTTATACCCTGCTTTAAAGCATTATCCCTCCCAGAAATATTTGCATTTGTACAGTAAATATTTATAGTTGCAAATCCAAGAGAGAACAGAATAGTCCAATTATGAAATTCCAAGGACTAGCCAAACAGGTGGAAGAGTGATTGACATTCATCTATACCTGTCTGCATCTTGTAGACAACCACCAGTTTCACCTCACTCTACACTAGTGTTCTGACGCCCACATTCATAGGAGCATTTAGCCCACAGCTTCCCGCTTTGCCCTTACTGCAGTTATCTATTGCTGTGTTAAAAATCATTCCAAATATAGTGGTTTAGAACGACAACGTTATCTCTCACAGTTCTATGTGTTGACTAGACTTAGCCAGGTGGTTCTTGCTCAGTGTCTCTCATGCAGTTCAATCTCGTGGCTTCTGTGCCTGGGACTGGAGGAGTCACCTGAAGGCTAAAATGGACTGGACTCACACATGTGGTGACAAGCTGATACTAGTCAGCTGAGACACTGACTGGAGTGCCTAAATGTGGCTTCTCCATATGAATTAGGCTTTAAACAGCACAACAGCTGGGTTCCAAGAGGAAGTATCTCGAGAGAAAGGGAAGTATTTAAAAACCACCAGTCCTCTAAAAGGCTAGGCCCAGAACTGGCATAGCAACTGCTACCCTATTCTATCGGTCAAAGCAGTCACAGCCCAGCCCAGAATCAGGGGATTGGAGAAACAGATTCCAATTCTGCAAGGAGGAGTGATATGTGCATTTGTGGAAAGAATGAAATGATAGCATCCATCTTGGAGATAAGCTTTAGCAGTAGAGCCATGGATCAGGGCCCCGGGCTGGAAAACATACCTGCAAGCAAGCAGGAGTCAGGAGAATAGTCAAGTCAAGGCCTCTGAGCCTGGAACACATCAGAGCCACTCAACCCAACCACTGGGTATCTAGAAAGACTTACTGGTGAGCAGCCAATCTTTCCAAATTAAAAGCCCTTAGCTTTCTAAATGGAGGCTCCTGAGAGGTCTTTAAGAAGATGTGAATGGGAAGGAACGCGGTGCCAAATTTTTCCCAAGGGCTTTTAATTTGGTCAGTGTGACTCTACAAAGCATGATCCTATCACTTTCAGACGATTCCGGTAGCAAGTAAGTAATTTCCTTTTACTGCTACAGAGTTCATTTGTGTGTGCAGGAAAAAAAAATAATTATTTTTTAAAAAGCTAATTGTACAAGCTACATTGTGTTCTGAGCCCACTAGAAGTTGATATCAGCATCACCACCTCTGAGATCTGTTATCTGTAATAGAAACAGCTGCTGTACCTAATGAAAACACTTGAAATTTTCATCTGAAGCAGAATTATAGCAGCACCTCCTAGTTCCATGGAGTTAAAGGGTCTGTCAGAATCCCTATTACCTAACACAATTTTCAGGGCTCCACTTTGTTACAGGTCTATAAAAAGACTGTCAAGATGAAGCCTGATTCATGAGGGCTGACCTCCTGTCTATATTTTGTTATCTTTGAGATTTCTCTAAGAACCCGGAAAGAGAAAGAATGAGAAAATTCTGGGCTTTTTTCCTGATTCACCAGAACTAAAATACTGTGTATTCTTTATAGAGTTTTAGGAAAGTGGCTCTTGTTTTTCTTTGGCTTTACAGAGTATTGGCTTTCCAGTAGTTAATTCCAGAAAGATATATGTATGTTGGTTTAGCTGTGCAAATACAAAAATAAGCAGATTGTGTCCAAAAAAAAGGGTAAATTTTCTTGTGTTGGAAAGTCCCATGCCATGACAGGACTCTTTAAATAAGAGTATCACACTTTGCTTAGTTTTAGTCTGTAACAAAAATACCTGAGAAAACACACCCCTCTGAATATCCCACACGTCCTGTTAGCACACTGCTCATTCCTGCATTCAGTGACTGGGGCAGACACTGTCCTAGATGCTGGAGATACAGCAATGAAAAAGCAGTGCCCTCATGATGTTTGCATTCTGCTAGAGAAAAGTAGGCAATAAACTACCTAAAGAAATATGGAATATAAGTAATAAATGCCATGGCTGGAGAAAGCAGGAAAGGAAAATGGAAAGTACAAGATGACTGCAACTGCAATAGAATACCCAGG